AAAAACTCTCCATCAGTTTTGTTTTACTCATTGACATTAGAGAGAGAAAAAACAATTCATAAAAAGTCCTTAACATTATTCATGTGAAATAAAAATATGAAATGAATGAAAACTAATCGGAATGAAATTGAAGTCTATTAATCTACATTATACTGTACTTCATATATCGTTCACAAAGTTTATAGATATCTTCTTCAACTAATGCTAATTTAATATGATAAAAGTTGAACATCTGATTTATTTTTAAATTTTAAAATGATTATTTTGTAGAGTATATTCATCTATACATGAGATTAGGAGTTTTATTCTAAGCTACTTATTGAAATCTTATCTCTTTTCTTAATTTAAAAAGTTCGTCTCAAAAAAAAATTTTTCCAAACGAAGTGTAAATGACTAGCCAAGATTTCGATTTGTTATGGTTAACGATTGTTATACGTGTTTTTTTCATCGAATTTATTTTCTCTCTTATTAATTAATTGATTAATTAATTATCATTTGTTTGTTTTTACAATTAATTTTCGTTCGACATTTTATTCTTGTATCCATAAAAACTGATATTCTACATTTGACTTTATGTTAAGGAGATTCTCATAGCAATGTTTTTAGACGATAGAGAATACGATGAGGAAAAACTGTTTTTCCGTTGTTAAAACTTGATCTAGTTGTACCCCCATCTTCTCATTCTCTCTTACATATATTCTTGCTTCCTATGTTGATTAATAAAAAAAGAAGAATTCTAATTTGAAGTAAATGTATTAATAAGGATTATTAAAGATCTACGATTAGTTTTAAAATTATAATAGTTATTCAATGATACAACATTTATTTGAGATTTATAAAATGACATAATTTAACTGTTCGATTTGAAGATATTATTGAATGTCATTTATCATAATGGATCGACCGATGAATTACTTATTCGAGATGAAAGCGATTACGTCATGCTATACAATCATTTGTCAAACATCAATGTAGATCATTTATATATAATCAAAGGGTATATTAATGGTCTATAGATCCTTTATACGTACAGCTCGATTGATCAATCGACAAAGAAATGAGTCATTTGTATATCGTTGATATTAATCTGGATATTGATTTTAATTTAGTTTTAAAAAGTTTTTTTTGATTTAGCCTTAATATAATATATCTAATGATTTATTTTTCCGATAACACTAAGATTTATTCAATGATATATTTAACATTAATTGACTACTAATACAATGAACTTTGGATAATTTAACAATTTCAAGAAAAAAATATCTCTTTTACTAGTTTAATAACTAATTGAATATTATCTATCTACATCGTCATTAAAATTTCAAGTTGACAATAGAAAACATATATGCTATTAGTTTACTTAAATATATTAGTAGGAAAAAATAGAAATGATTCACTCTATATTTATTCTGAAAAGATAAATAGAAAACAACTGTCTTCATATTTTCTATGTGAGTCAATTAATTGATTTGAAATATTTACATTTACTTAATTCAATTATCTATAGAGAAAAATATAATTTTTAATTAATACAAGAAACAAAACGATCAGTGAAGAAATCTATGAATCACTATTACAGATATGAGTTTGCTGATCAATAAGAAAATCTATAGAATTTCTCAAAATATGAGTATAGATGAAGATTAGTGATCTTGAGAGAAATTCATTGTCCTCTCTATTTTTTGATGATTTTCTAATAGAATGAATATAGAAAAAGTAAAAGTATCTTCTAATAATAATGCAATTAATATAATTACAAGTTATTATTCAGTGTTTTATTTTCTCCAATTGATATAACTTAGATTTTGATGAATATTGACAATGTAAAATTTTCTTATTGATAAGATCATTTCTAAAATTTGTTAAGAATAAGAATAACTGAAAGTAAAAGTATTTCTCATGAACATGACAATTTTAGTTTGATGATGAATAGATTTCTATTTAACTATAAATATCTTGTTAGTAAACACATTTATTCGAATAAAAATCAAAATTGAGATACATTATAAATTATTAATAAGGAAAAAAGTAACATCAAGGATATAAAATACGTACGCAATAGTTACGATCTTTGATGTTTTTTCTATTACGTTAATGTTATGCATTACTAGAGATAATATCCAAACGTTTTTTTTTTCGTATCATTAACATATCTACATATGAATTTAATGTACATTAAATATCTTTTGAAGCACATTGACGATTGAAAACAAAAATAAAAAATAGCATAACAACGTACGAATGTCAAAAAATCATATGAATAATTATTCTTACTTGTTACGGTTAATTCAAGATTGTTAAGAATGAATAAACGATGCTAATTAACTTTCTTTTTTTTTATTCTTTATACTGACGAATAAATAGAAATTAGAAAAATAAAACTAAAATTTCTATTTAAAATATTTTCGAAAATCTCAATATGATTTTTCTATATATTCGTGAGACGAAAAGAAATACTTTACATAATTTTGCATTGAACGAAAAATATTTTATTCGTTTATTGCAGAACGAAAGATAAAATGTATATGTTTCTTTTCTTGTATGTATATATATTTTAAACATGAAATGTCCTTCCAACTAGATATTTTTTCATTCATTGTTATCAAGGTTTGTCTAGAGTAGTCATATAAATAGTTGACAATAACGTCTCAATATGACTTTCATCAATGATTTCCATCTTAGTCTACAAATAGAAATTATACAAACGTTTCTTTTTTCGAGATTTTTTTAATGAAGAATAGTATTATTTTTGTAGGTAACAAATCATATAGAATTCAACTGAAATATTACAAAGAAAATTGTAAGAAAGTAAAATCGACTCTTTCCTTTTTGTTTCTTACCTTGTTAAATCACTTGTAATTCTGATTTTTGATAAATGTTTGTATTTTAGAGTTTGATCAATAAATATGTCCGTGTTACAAGATGAAACATATGGACAAAATCTTCTTGCCTATTGTGATATGTGTTATGCTGTATTTGATTCTGAAAAAGAATTACATTATAAATGTTCCTCATGTTATGATTATATTGTTTGTTCGAAATGTTTTCCTTTAACAAAAGTAAAACATTCCCCCCTTCATACATTTGTACCAATAATTGGACTTCCAAATGAATTTGCATGGGTTCAAAATAATATTGGAATTAGATGTGATCGTTGTTTTCGAACTGATTTTCCAGGTCGTCGTTATAAATGTACTGTTTGTACTGATTATGATGTATGTGAAGAATGTTTTCCATTTGTTAATAAATCTCATGAACTTAAATTAGCACCAAATTCAGTTAAAGCAAAATTAAATCATACATTATTGGCTCGACGTGCTGTAGCTCTACTCAGTAATCCTGATTCACCTTATTATGGACATCCATATGATGTTCTTACTGATTTGTCATTAACTAAAGCACGTACTCTAGTCAATGAAAATCAAAATAAACAACCTCTAGATAACAAACTTATTCTTGAAGATCTTGTACATTATCCAAAGGAACTGAAATTAGATGAACCAAATAAAAAAATGACAAAAAATAAACAAAAGAAAAAAAATAAAATTCATGATGGATTATTACAAGTTGATGAAGAATCAATGAAAGGAACATGGCCACGAGGAACATGTTCTCGACATAGATTTCTCAATAATACATGTTTTTTACATCCAGAAATACAACAAGATTCAATCAAAAATGTTGATCTGAGCAGTACCACTGGATGACATTTCAATAGAATCAAAATAAAATTATAAAACTAACTCGTTCTTTTGTTTTCAAAATTTTAATTTATAAATTGATAAGAAATATTTATAGACAATATGTTTTATGAACTTTAACAGACGAAATAAAAGAGTATGGTTGCAAATGCCATTTAAACTACACACAAATCTTTTTCATATTTATATACGCTGAGAATTTTTATTAAATAAATAAATAGAATTAAAAAGAAAATTATTCTCAAAGGTTATTCTTCTAACCATGAAATAACTTCATAAAGAAATAAATCCATAATAAGACATATGTGGATTTTTTATGTGACACGACACTTTTGTAACTAAAAATTCAAGTGATATTTCTTATTTGTTGGTTTAAAAAGGGAAAAATATTTTTTATTTTTTTTCTTAGTTGTCTCTCTTTCAGATGCGCATCTTAAATTTTTTACTCTAAACTGATGTAATATATTCATTCTTTCTTTTTTTTTTGTTTAAAAAAGCATATCAATATGTAGTGCATGACTGAGTCGTTTTCTTTAACTAACTTTTCTTTTTAATTACATATAGAAATATTTCTATAGTTCGCTATTTATTTTTCACGAGCTTTTCGAACCGTTGAACTTTTCATTCTTTTTCTCCGGTGAAAAGGTAACTACTCATAGAAATGGACTCGATCATGCATCGCCTTTTTACAAACTCTTACATACAAAAAAACAAATAAAATATATTATATTCTACGAGTTATGAATAACACGTTTGGGATGACAAATCGAATATTTTCAAACTCATATCCCTGTGAAATATCGTTGCATCGAGATGAACTAAATTTTGAAGAGAAGAAGGGACATTAACATCTGAACAACAACATTTGAGAATGACGTGGTCAGCTCATCTTATTAATTTATTATTGAATGAATTTTGTTTGTTAATATTTGCATAGATATCAATGTTTAATTTAAAATAAAATTAATTAAATTTTTCTCATTGATTTTGTTTGAGTATGTTGTAATCGACATTCATTACGTTTTCTTATAGAGAAATATTCTTTTATTTATTGTAATTATTAGGAGTTTTACTTTATTTCTTCGTAATTCATATATATATACGCTTTTATTTCAATCTGATTCTCATTCTTGAAATTGAAATCGCAGTGGTATTTATTATTGAACAAATAATACTATAAAAAGCCCAAGTATGATATAGTGCATAAATCGTAACTAAAAATGTAATTTATATTTCAAGAATAAGAATCAGATTGAAATGAAAGAGTATATGATAATATAATGTCACAGATTATTTCTCTTTAACCTCGAATTGATGAACAAAGATCCATAGTTATTATTCTCATTGAAATTAGTAAATCTATCTATATTATTTATTCGTAATTTGGATAGAATATATAGACTTTTGTAAATGAAGTAATGTTTTTCCTTGTCTGTTGTCATTGACAAATAAAAAACACTGATATAAATAAAAAGAAAAAAAAAGAATAAACTTTAACATAATTTGTCTTTTTCTTTCTAAACAATCAAAGAATATTTTCTTTTCAATTCTCTGAAATAATCAAAAATGAAGTGATAATAATGGATGTCGATTCATCTGATATTATCCAACAAACAAATTCTACTCCAAATAGAGAATATTCAACAATATCAAAAGCAATTGGTGGATTTACATCAACACATATGTTACCTGTTTCTAATATCGTTCGACCTGTATATATAAATACACCAGGAAGTATTTCAGAAAAAGAACAAAGTTGGAGATCAAAATTTCCCAAAATGCCAGTTCTTATTTTATCAATAATAGAATTTATTTTAACAATAATAATATTTATTATTGAAATTGCATCAATGGTTGTTCTTTCTAATGATGGCGCAACAGGTGCTGGAATTTGGTGTGCTATTCCATTTTTATTTGCAACTATTTGCGCATTTTTACTTGGTAAATTTATTTTATTTTATTTAATAAAATTTCAAATAAAATCTTTCGTTTTTTTATTTAAGTTGAAAGGAAAAGTCGATCGCGAATCTGGTCAACTCGAACTTTAATAACACAATTGATTTTAATTCTATTTACTTTTATTCTTATTTCAATAACTGGTCATTATATTGAAAATAATTCCGCATTTGTAACAGCATTATCACCTAATTCTTATCAAGTTAAATATCATTTAATGCAAGCACAATTAGCATCTGCTGTTCTTTTAATGTTTTCAGGATTAACTTATATTCTCATTTATATTTCTATTAGTTATATTGCTTTATGGCAACCATTTCATACACTTGATATTAATGATCATTCGAAACAAATTATTCATTTCGAATAATTAATTATTTCTATTCAACAAATTAATTTACATAAAATATATTCAATACAAGATCAACCATGAATATCATCTCAATATCTTGCTCAAATCTTCATAAAACAAACTCATATTTTAAACATTAGTAAAGAGATTTACTTAACGTTTGTTTTTTTTTTCATATAAAAAATCTGAATAAATTTCTATTATTATGCATGAAGATCAATATTAATAAAATCATATACATACATTTCTAAAACTTCTTTTTCTAGACAATCGTTTCGAAATATTTTAAGTCTTTCACATATTGACTCACAAAATTTCTTGTACAATTCACAATCTATTCGAGAAAAACCTCATCGAATTAATTGTTTAAAATTAGTTTTGTTAAACAATATTCTTGAAATAATCGTACAAAAACTAATCATCAAAAGTGAGGTCAAACCAATGAAGTCAACTATAATAATTGGCCCATCTTACTGAAAGAATAAAATCTTTTTCTACAAATTGTTTATTTGAAGTGAAGAATATTTGAGAAATGAATAAATATGAGACTTTGTTTGTAAATAAAGAAGTTAAACTGACGGACGAGAAGAAGAAGAAAGAATTTTTTATGTTAAAATTCTCGTAAATAATATTTCGTTTTAATTGAAATATGTGAAAAGAAAATGAAGTTGAAATAAATGTTTTTTGTTGAAATGAAAATGAAATATTGATTGATTGAATTTATTGTAAATTGTTGTTTTATTTTTGCCACTCTTTTCTGGCTGTTTTTTCTTGTCTTTCTAATATTTAATAATAATAAAAAAAACACGGTGTAATCACAATAAATCAAAAGAAATAACTAATATGAGTGGCTAGTTTTTCAAGTCTTCTTGTTTGATCATTTGGGTTTTTCTATGAAATAAATTCATTTGTTATCATTCAGCCAATTCCTAAATAGAAGAGAAAATAAAAGTTAAATTTAATTAAGGAGAATGAAAATGTATTAACCATAATGGCATTAACAATATCATTGTTGCATTTTCTTAAAGCTTTAATAGCTTTTGAACGTGTTGTTTTCGATTGAGACATAACTAATTGAATATCATTTTCTTCAATACCTTGTGAATCAACCTTTTTTTTAAAAAGATGAAAATAAAGTTAGATTAAAATAAGAAGATAGAAAACCTGTTCATCTTCATCATCTTCTTCTTGAATAGTTTCTGTTTTATTATTAGATTGAATATTAGAAGTTTTGTCTGTTTGTGATTTGTCATTATTATTTTGATTTGATGTTTGATCATTAGAATTGGCATTAGCTCCTGCTTGATTTTGTCCAAGAGTTTTAAATTGATTAGCAGCAGCAATTTGTGCTCTTTGAGAAAGATCTTCAATTTTGGCTTCACCAAAAACAATATAAGTATCTGATGCTGGACTTTTATAAACATCAGGTTTTTGTATAACAAATAAAATATTTTTTGATTTACGAATTGTTACACGAAGAATTCCTGGAATTGGACGTAAACCAAGTTTAGCCATAGCTTTACGAGCTTTCTTTTCTGATCGAGTTTGTTTTTGTTTTGATTGTAATTCTTCATCAATTCCAGCTGCTTCAGCTAATGGATGAGATTGTTTTGCTTCATCATCTTTTTCACCTTCATTTCCAGATTCTTCAGATGAAGATTCATCGGAATCTAAGATTTTATTTCAAATAAATTTTTAAAAATTTAATTTTAAAATAAAAATAAAAGTTCTTACCATCTTTAACATCTTTAATTTGAACTGATGATTGTTCTTGTTTAAGATCAGTTGATGATGCTTCAACAGATTCTGTTGCAAGGATTGGCATTCTTAATTTATTCTAAATGTTTTTTCTTTTTGGAAAATATTGAATATCTATAATAATAAATTCTTATTTAAATAAACACACACACACACACAAATATATTTGACGAACATAAAGACAAATAGAAAGATTTTTTTAGGAAAATTTTTTCTTTGAAAAAAAAAGAAAAAATTTTCTTTTTGAAAAAAGAAAGCGAAGAAAAAAACGGAAAAAGAAGAATTATTTTACAAGACCAACAAAACAAAGATGTAGAAACAAAACAAAAAACAAAACAATTATTTGAGATAAATTAAATGAGAATGTAAAATTATTTCAATTTATTTTATTGTAATTGTAATTGTGATTGTGATAGTTTTTGCATTCTTAATGCAACTAGCGCAGCCCTAATACGTCCTTCTGGAATTTGATCCCAACATTGTCCCATTGTTTCTGATATTGTATTAATATTTTTATTTTTACTCTCTTTCCAAGATGAACGTATTAATGGACGATTTAATGGACTTGGTAAATTTATAATTTGTAACATATCATTTATTGATGGACTACAACTCAAATGACGTTCACGTAATTGATTATCAAACGGCATTTCATACATTTCATTCGAATCTAATCGGTGTTTTATTTCTATTAAAAAATAAATAAAAAACAAAATATGTAAATCTTTACCTTCAGTTGGATATCTCGATAAAATTTCCCATAAAATAATTCCAAGAGCATAAACATCACATTGAAGTAAAGCAGTTGGATCTGAACCAATTGTTCCTGCTAAGATTTCTGGTGACATATATCGAGGAGTTCCAATCTATTTTATTTTTAAATAAAATTTTTCTAGAGAATTCAAAAAAGTCTTACTTGTTGTTGTTCATTTGGAAAATTTTGAGTTTGATCAAGTTTAATTGACATTGCAAAATCACAAATAACTAATTTTTCATTATTTATATAAAGAATATTGTCAGTTTTTAAATCTCTATGTGCAATTGGTGGTCGACAAGTATATGGATCATTATTTCGATATCGAAAATCTTGATGAAGATATTCAACACCTGATGAAATTTGTTGACATATTAATATTAATTCTTTTTCATCGTTTAACAAACGTAAATGAAGAACATCACGTAATGAACCATTAAAACTAAATTCTGTTATTAAATAATATTTATTTCCATCTGTTAAACTTCCATAATATCTATTCAAAGAAAGAAACAAATCAATTTTTACCATATTTCAATTTTAAAATACTAAAATAAGATTATTTCTATACTTCTGCAAAGAAAACCGTTTGGGAAAACATATTATTCCATTCGATAGTTCTTACAATTCTCTATCAAAGTCTTTGTTTTCATCATATCTCATTTCTGTTCAATGGAAAATCAATTGAATAAAATGAAGACACGTTAAAAATGAGATTTGAAATGAATTTTCTATTTTTTGACAGATCATTATCTAATGAATAACTTTTTGAACGAGTAGATATTCTTTACAATTTTTGATCTTTTACAAATGATATTGTCATTATATTTATAATAAAATTTCAAGATAACGTAGATGTCTTTCATTGATAATTGTAAAGGATATCTAGATTTTTATTTGTTTCCAATGAAATTGTCATTCTTCTATAAAATTTATCTTTTCCATATCTAACGAAATATTTTGTTTAGTCTTTCAAATTCTCTATGATCAAGTTCAATAGATTTTAAAATTGTAGACAATTTCAAGTGTTAAGACAATATCTGATTACTTTTAAAAAAAGTGTTTATCTCATAAAAGATTCATTAAAAATATCTAGTGGCTAATTTTTGTTTTTTCCTTATTTGTAACAAAAAAATGTGAAAATGAAATTGAGACTTACTTGAGAATATTCGAATGTTGAATGGATGGTGATAAATAAATACTTTTTTCATTTAAAAATAATTTATTCGCTTCATAAGTTCCATTTGAATCAGTTAACATTTTAATGGCAACTTCATCATTTTTATAAAAACCTTTATGAATTAAAGAAAATCTTCCACGTTTTATTATATTTCCAATTTGTAAATCTTTTGAAGATATATCTTGCTCAATTAATGGTGTTGTTACAGAGTCAGGGTCAGGGAATGGTTTTTCTGGTAATTTCGATTTTGGAAAAAATCCCCGAATTTTTTTCCATCCACGTTTTAATGTTTTTCGATAAATAAAACAAAGAATTATTAGAATTATTATAATAAATCCAATAATTGAACATAATAATATCACATATTCCCATTTACATAACAATTTTTCACATTTTCCATCTATTCAATTTAACAAAACATGAAAAATTATTTGATATTTTATTAAAATTTTACCTATGATTATATTTGTCGGTGATTCAGATTGTGAACTATTTGTTCTTAAAAATGAAATAGAAATAGAGATTGAAATAATATGTTTAACTTACATAGTAAAATTGAGATTACAAAATTGTTGATCACAACAACAATGTAAATAAGAATCATTTTTTCTTGTAGATTTCGTTAAACAATGTGTTTGATTTTTACATCTTTTATTAATTTCTTGATCATACATACAATCCATATTTCCAATATAAATCTCATCATTAACTATTTTTATTAATGTTGAACAATAAACTCCACCACGAATATTTGATAAAGAATTTTTATGACATTCTTTTGTTTCATATACACATGTTGAATTATAAATGCAATTTGCTGGTGATGCTGTTTTACATAATAAACTATTCACAACATTTACTAAATTTTAGAAAATAAACAAAATTTTCTTTTTCGAGAAAAAAATTCATTTTCATACCGAATAAGATTGAAAAAGAAATGAGATAAATCATAATTTGAAATTGAAAGAAAAAAAGGAAAAAGCCAAACTATATAAAATGGTCACGGACGAATAAATCAAAAGTCAGTCATTGTTAACCTTGCTCCACTAAATAATCAAATGACTCGAACAACCTCTTTTTCTATTCTATTTATTACCAACCATACTACTTTAAGCATTTCCTCCAAATACCTTTAACAAAACATTTTATTCTCACTTTTTAGTTTTATTTCATTTCATTTCAAATATTATTTCTTTACTTTTATACGAATTATTTATTAAATTATTTTATCTTTAATCATTTTAACAACGACATCTATATTATAATAACTCAATGTCGCTTTGATCTTTTCTTTCGATAATTATTTATTTCCGATGAGATAAAACAATACACTCGAGACAAGAAATTCATCATTTTTATCAAACGTCATTTTTATTCAATTTAGAAAAAAAGACTCTCAGATAAACTTTTAAGATTAAATATTATTTATTAAGTATGAAAATAGATTTAAACAAGATCTGTTATTTTAACATTGACTATCGTATAAGTGAAATTTGCCAATGAAGTGTAACATAGTTGGATAGATGATTGTTTGTAATATTGATATTCATATGAGTGAATATTATTCGTAATCTGTTCTATTAGATATTCGTAATATGGAATTTGTAGAATTAATAGAAAAATTTAACTGTCATCGATGAAAAGTGGAAATAAAAGAAAATATTGTTCTTTTATTCTCTTATTTTCTCAATACTAATTCTAAGAACATCTCTCGATATAATTAAACTCATTATTGATCTTTCTAATGGAGATCATTTCGAAGTATGAAGAGTTTTTCTTAATAGTTTTTCGATCGATATTTGATAATGTGTGTTGGAAAAGAAAATAAATTTGTTAAATAATAATTAATAATATTTATTAACATGTTAACAAATTTCTAATGAACAAAAAACAACGACGAAAGAAAGAGAGAAAGAAATGTTGAATATGTATGTTAACAATATCTAAACAAATGAATTTAATATTGTTATTGTGGTGGTTGTTGTTGTTGTTGTTGAAGTTTTTGTCTATCATTTTCAATTTGTAAAACTTTTTTTGTTAAACTTGTTAAACAATTTGAATTTGGATCATCGGAAAGTGTTCGTTTTATTGAATTATTTGTTGTTGATTGACCAAATAAAAGATTTGTTTGATTTGTATTAATAATAATATTTTCATTTTTTGAATCTAAATTATTTAATTTTGATATTGTTGATATTGTTGTTAAAAATTTTCCATCTTCTGTTCGAGTTCGAGTTGTCCGAACTGTATTATTAGCACCTAAATTAATAAGATTTAGATTTAAAAAGAGAATAAATCTTTAATAAATAACAAACCTGCTTGAATTGATGATGACAAAACATTTGGTGAAGCATTTTGATTCGAATTATTTGAATTTAATTTGATTTGTTGATTTGTTGAAGAAAATGAATTTGTTTTAATAAGATTTGATGAATAATCGACATTAATATTAATTCCAATATTAATTGAAATATGTTCATTTTGATTTTCATTCCGTTTTCTTCTTTGTGGAAGGTCAATTAATTGATTTGTTGAAAAAAAACAATCCAAATTTGGAATTTTAAGAAATATTTCTTCATAAAAACTTGTTATATCACCAATTAAATTTCCATCTATAATATGAATTGTTCCAGCTGGTTTTGATGGTGTTAAACATGGATTTTTATCTAATAGTTTTTGTTGATAATTTGTTTGATCAGAATTAATTTGTCGAATAAAAACACTTCTTAATGCATTTTTGTTTGAATTTGGCATTGATATATAAGCTTGAATTAATTTTGTCCAAGTTAATTGTTGATTTGAAATTCGATTTGAATTAGCTGTATAATAAATACATGATAAAAGTATTTGATCTAAATCTCTTGATTGAAATAATAATTTTGTATAATTTTCAAATAAAAATAAAAATAAATTCCAAATATATTTTTCAATATTATTTGATTCTCTTTGATATAAACGAATACATAATGATTCAATACGTGATAAAACTAATTCATATAATTTATGATAAAACTTTGTATATGGACTCGTTTTTTGATTAGTCACATTAATACTATTTTCAACAATTGGATCAGATCGACTTCGAATTATTGATAAACAATTCTAAAGATTTTAATTAACAATTAATAGAACATTTTTTTTCTTTTAGATTATTTACAAATTTATTAAACTGAAATATTTTTTCTTTCATTAATCCAAATAGTATCTTTCGTTTCCTATTGTCCAAACAGAGAACAATTTGAAAAAACGCATTTTTTGATGTTTTTTTGAAATTTCCTAGATGTGACAACGATAAAAGCTTTAGCCTTTTATTGTTAAAACACATTGTTATTAGACGTTAGAATAGAAAAGCGCTTTAACAATAAAAAGCGGAAGGTTTTTTTTCTCGTTTTCATATGTAGATAGTTGGAAAGAATACTGCTAAACATGTTTTACTACGTATTAATAGATGCGACATATCCTATACTCACTCACACTGTTTTCGTGTTTGTTTTATTCTTAAAATAAAGAAAAAACTTACATTTGATTGTTGATTATCTGAATTTGAATTTGAAAATAAATTTCTTTTAACATTATTATGATCTGGTGATTGAAAATACATTGAAGTTAAATTAGTTGGTGTTTGATGTGTTGGTGTTGTTGAATGATTATTTAATTTAATTTGTAAATTTTGAATTTGTTGATAAGTTAAAAAACCTTTTGTTTCAATATCATTCCATAATGATGAGTCAATTGAAAAAACCATTGATGATAACATTGTTTCTTCAATTGATGATAAATATTTGACAAATGATCGACATTGATATAATTGTTTACATGTTTGTAAATAGATTTGAATTATTTTATAAAATGAATAACTATGTAATGAATAAATATTTAATATCCAATTTAAATTATGACTTTGATCACAATGGGCATTTAATACTAATAATAAACATATACCAAGAAGAGATTTTAAAAATTCATTTTTTTGCATTAAATCACTAAAGAAAAGATTTAACAAATGAAATGAAATTTAGTTCTTATTAATAAAAATCAAATAAAATCTTACTGAGATTGTTGTTGAATTTCTTGATGATTTAATTTTGATGAATTACAACGTTTTTTTTTGATGAATTAAAATATTTTCTAAGCTATTATAAAATAATTTTAATGATAAATCAAAACGAGATTTACATGAATCAGATGGATTCATTTGATTATTATTATTTTGTCGTATATTATAGAAATCATTTGAATCATACGATTCATAAAAGATTTTTTCCCAATCATTTAAACGTTGAACAAGCCTATCTAAATATTCAAATAAAATTTAATAAAAACAATCTATGGAAAATAATGACGATGGAGTTTGTTAAAAATAAGATTAAAAAGGAAAAAGATAAAATTTGCTAACCTAATAAAAGTTGATCTCCAATAAGTGAAATAATATTTTGATTTGGATTTGTTTTAATAATTTGTTGTTGTACAATTGAATATAAAAGTTGAATTGCTTGATTAGCTTGAGAAATGGGTGTTAATGTTTGATTGATTTGTTGATTAGAATTTGATATAAAATGTTGATTTGCAGTTAATGGAGTTTTATTTATTTGAGATTTGCAATTTCGATTTTCATTTAATGAATTTATACAATCATTAAATTGATTTTTATTTTCTAAAAATATTCTTTCATCAATAATACAATTTGTTAAAACAATTTCATCATATTTTTTATTTATTTCATTAATTTGTTTTAAATAAAAATCATCTGTTGATAAATCATTTATATTGTAATTTTCATTTAATAAATAAATAAAATCATTTTTTAAATGTTGTTCATAGATTGTACGAGTTGTTTCACATGAACATTGATATTTTGGACATAATTTATCAATTATTGTTTCTTCACAAATATTTAATTCATTTGAAAATTCACCTAAAATTAATAATTTTCACATTACTCATTTCTCTTTCTCTTAAATTCTTTTTTTAATAAATACCTTTAATAAAATGATTAAGTTTAAATTGAATAATTGATTGATAAATAAGTTCAAATGACGCAATTAGTAAATTAAATGAAGCAATAAGATCATTAATTGTTGATGGATAAATTGTTTTTGAATATGCATAAATTGTCCAAATAAATGAATAAAAATGATAAATATTTAATTTTTTTTGTTTAGTTTTGTGATTTAATTTAATTTGTAATTGATAATCATATGTTAAATATTTATTTATATTTCCACCAAATAAATAAACAAATATTTCCGAATATTTTTTAAATATTATTGATGAAATAGTAAATGCATGTTCAACTTGATCAATTTTATTTCGAATATTAAGAGGTAAATTAGCCATATCTTGCCATTTATGTAATTTATCAAAAAATATCATTAAATCAAAATTATTTGAACTTTTTAATAAACGTTTTATTGATATTGGATTATTATCACATGAAGTTAAATAACGATTTCGTCGACATGAAACATATAATGAAACAGCTAACCAATGAATTTGATCACCTTCTAATAAATAATGTTTACGGATATGTTCATACGAACGCCATGCATCAACTTTCGTTTCATTATCCAAATTTAAATCAAGACATAAATTATTATAATTTCTTTCGATTGATTCACTCATATTTTCTTCTTCTTTTCTAAAAGAAATTTTATTTTAATATTAAAAGTTAAAAATAAAGAATTTCTTACTTTATTGATGATATTGACGATGTGATTTGATTCATATTCATATTCATATTGATCTAACATATGTTTTCCATTTTTTTCTTGTTTCTCTTTCGTTTTTTTTTCTTCTCTAAAATATATTCTAAACGACGAATTAAATATTAGTTCATTGACCTAAAGGTCATCGACAAACAACAATATCCTATTCAACCAATTGTTTTCATTTATTTCTATTTAACACATTTTTATCTTTCACACCCATTAACATAGATTAACACATCTTCT